CACAACATATGCCATGGGCCGCAAAAACACAGATACATCCACAAGCCTCATTTACTTTACATGTAGAAACAGCTTCAGTGCCCACTTAGGCTTTCTGACTGTTCTTCATCCAAATCCTGAGGAAAAACACTTGCATCTCTCAGGACACTTGAACCAACCAGCAGCCTTCCAGCTAAATACTGAAAAAGCTTTTCACTACTGATGCTGCCAAAAGACCTTCTCCCAGTGCTGAAACAGTGTTTGTTGTCATCCAAGGAAACAGACTGGAAGATCTCAAACTAGCCAGCATTCCAAACAGCCCATTGCAGGATAAACACAGAAGATCTGCTACCAAAGCAAGCCAGTTCTACTTTTGTTGGGGAGCTTTTAAAATGAAACTGCAAAAACTAATGAACTGTTAAAGGTTTTACAAAGTTTTTGCCACAGTTTTTACTAAGATGACCCAAAGACAGACAGAGAAAGAACAGCAAGTAAAACAAGACTTTAATGATAATGGCAGTAGTGCAGATAAATATAATGCAAAGAGACCAGTAAACTGCAATTCCATCAAAAAGAATAGTTCCCTTTCTTATAAACCTTAATACCACACCCTAATGACCAACTTTATTACCATACATGGACACACTCTGATCATCTTAACAATATCTGTGCTATTAAATATCAGGCATCATGGCGTACGTACTTGTCAAAAGTGTGTGTGTCAACCTTCTACTAAAACATGTAGTCAAAACATGTTTTTGTCACTAGATGTTCTTGGAGTCTAGACAGAAAACCTCCAAAGGTCAAGGCGACCGGTGGTATTTGTCTCTGTTAGTACCAGCTTAAACCAACTCATCAAGGACATTCTCAAACTATGAATAAACACGCAATATGGAATGAAGGAATACACACCAATGTATACTACATATTTATAGTCGGCATAAATGCTAAATGTTACTCAAACCACTGCATATAGATGTGTATGTGTAAGACCAAGCCGCCCTTAGATATAAATGTGTGTTAACTGATCACACCCCCTCCCATCCAGAAACAGCACTGGCTGCCAAGACAGGCATCACCTGCTTAGGCACATTAGCTCCAATTCAGAGACAGCAAAAATACTCTCAAACTCATAATGTCTTCATGAAAAATATAAACAAACACACACCATTATAAAATTGTGAGACGGTATATAAAAATGCATGGTTTTAAATGTTTTACCACCACACCTGAAGAGGAAGAGGAGCAATTACAATCACCTGATCGACCTGGAACAGCACCTGGCCATAGGTCTGAGGTAAAATATATAGTGAACACTACTAAAAACAACCAAACAGGTTTAGCTGACCAGGACAGCACATGCTTATGGTAAATGTTAAAAATAAATAGGGGAGAAAAAATAAATGTGGCTTTTTCGCTCAGCGATATTCTGTCATTGATGTGCAACGTTTCATAGACAGAATATTGGTCTGAAAATTATTATTGACGTGTGAGAAAGAAGAAAAAAAAAATCACACATGAAATTTGCCTCTGATGTGTAAAGATCTTTACACTGCAACCAGCCACCAGGGGACAATAAACTCAGGGTGGCTTCGCTGCTGGGAGTTGTCAGGTTGTCCATCTATACAGTCTTTGACTTAATGTTGGATCCCCTTGCATATAATAAGAAACTAGACTGCTTTAGCACTGTTTTCATCTGGAGAACATGCTTGTTAAGTTGGCCAAATATGTGAACGTTTAGAATTTGGATTCTGACATCATAGGGATTTCAAATCAGGTGCTTCAATCCCCCTGTGCTAAACCAGCAAATTAGCTGCCATGCAAGTATTCATGTAACTACTCTTTGGGCCTTTAAGCATCCAAAATATCATTTAATCAAGCCACACATGGTGCTGGTCACTCTGCACGTTTTCTAATCGAGGCAAGTGGGGATGTAAGCCTGTAGACTGAAGGAATGTTTGTCTTTTCTCACCCGTTAATCTGTGGAGCTTGATGTAGAGTGCTCCTTAATTTCATTGTTTGATCAGTCTGCTAGCCCCAGACAGTGCAGCTCTGTGTGCTTAATAAAAGTGGTAACGAGATCTTTGGCTTCAGGCTGTGTGTGGGGCAGCATGACGCATCCTGGGAGCAGGTACACAGTACTAGCTCTGCACAGTTCTCCAACTGTTTTGGACACGACCTGCTGTGACCATCCATATTCACTGGTGGTGCAGTAGCCTTACCTGCTTTTGAACATGGTCCATGATGTTTTTGAAGTCCAGGTCATCATAGTAGTTCACTATGCCTTTTCTGATGTTCTTGTTCAGTAATTCCACCGTCTATAAGGGAGCAAAAAATATAAAGAAAATTTGGGTGCGTTAATGCAATGGACAAGTGTTGTGTTAACCATGTTTGTTTTACTGGACACAGCTGATCTGGAAAGGAGATGCTCTAATTCATCAAGGTGACACTGAAATAGAATATTAAAATGTGACAGCTTACAGCTGTTAGTCACAATCTGGTGTAGCAGGGTCACATTAGATTTAATACATCAGTCCATCCAGAGACTCAGAACTCATATTCTCAAAAGAGCTTTTCATTCATTTAAAGAGGTGCTCAGTTATTCCGCTAATTTCACTCTTTATTCCATTTCTGATGCATTAGTTTTATTTATTTTTATGAAGATCCTTCATCACCACTGATAATTATGATTTGAGACTGCACAGAGATGAAAGGAACTGAGATTTCACTTCATTTCTTTTTCTTCATCACCCTCAACATATCAAGTCTTCGCTGTTAATCTATCAGGACAAGGGAGCCATGTTTAAGCCACATTATCACCTTAAACATGGTGCTCAGGAAATGCAGTGCCAAAGGCAGAAAAAAGAAAATCCATATACAGGCAACACACATTTCTCATGCACTGTTACATTATTTTATTAATGTAAATGAGATGACAGCAAAATGAAGAAATGCCATATGACAAGTTGGGATGCTATTGTAATTTAAATAAAACCACTGATAACGCTTTCAAATGTGGCGCACCATATACCCAGCATCATTGCCTCATGAGTCGTCAGTTGTAACACAATCTTCATGTAAATGAGATGGAGATAAAACCATAAAAAAAAGAAATGGTGAGATACAAAATGTGAGACAGACAAGAAAAGCAGATACAAAATCACAAAGAAAGGTCAGGGAAGCAAACTGTACTTTCAACACATTGTAACATACAAACAAATCATTCAGATTAATTCTGATTATACTAGAAATATGAGAAATAAGGGTTTCAATGCGGGGTCAGTGAAGTCTCCATTTAGTGAAAGATATTGTACAGCTTCCATGGTTTAGTTTATTATTTGTCTACAATATACCATTTACTGACTGAAAAGCAGAATCGTAATAACCCTCGATTTAGTGTTTCACAGGCTGTAAAGCCTCAAGGCAAATTTGTGATACAGGGATAAACTAATTAAATAAAACTGACATGACCAATGACACAACTCCCCCTCTGTTGAGGTGGAACTATTTCTAACTTATTAACAAACACCTCAGACAGCTCACCTGGTTGCGGAACACGAGCGCCAAGGCTCCTCCCAGCATCTCCAGGAATAGACACACTGAGAGACAGTACATGAACTGAGACCAGACAGACAGCAGAGAAGAAGATCCATTAAGCACATTACACTGGATGCATACCATGGTTTAACATAGATGCATAACTACTGTATTCTTCCACTAGTGGCTTTTCTCAATATGACATAAACTAATCAAAAACTCAAGCACTAATGTCTGCATCATATTTTTTTTTACTTATGCTGTATATTTAAGACTAGACAGCAGACACATCACATCCCAGGAGGAGGACTGAGGTCATAAGAGGTTGCTTCTTTTTCTGCATCTGGTGACAACTGTAGTTGATTTAAACTGTGCAGACAAATTCATATTGTGGAACATACAGTATCTCTACCCATGTACTTCAACCATCTTTATTAAGAAGCTACTGATTAAACAGAGTTTATTAGAATAGTAATAAACAGTTTATTTCTTGTCAGCTAATGCTATAAGCAAATATGACAACAAAAACAGACATTAACCCATCCATCTGCCTTTTACCATCTAACAACACCATCACACCTTTTTCTACAGTGAAGCAACATCTTAACAGCTGGACATTAATACTGACTAATTCACACTGTGTTGTACTGAGACTACTGTATATTTTTATCCTTAAACCTTTTATATGTTTTGCAGGCTTCACAGTCATTTACTGTGACAAATATTAAGACACTGACTTATTACTAATAGATCTGTAAATAAGAAAATAAAAAGAGTAGGTGCATGCATTGTTCTTTCAGTGTTTAACTTATTAAAAAAAAAAAAAAAAGAGTAAAAAGTACACTAAGCATCCTAGCAGCCACTTAGTTGTTTAAAAGAAGATGCAAACTCATGTGGAGTTTTGATGATGGTGATGGAGACGCTGTCTAACATGTCATGCCAAAATGTGCAACTGGGTTGAGAACTGGTGGCTGTGAAGGCCACAGCATATGGCCACACCATTCAGTGACCCCGCATTCCCTATGGATGAGGGCACTGTAATCCTGGAAGAGACCACTCAGTTATTCAGGTTTTTCCCCTTTCATTTGTCACCTGTCTGAAAATGACTTGGCTCTAAGCACACCACTCACCACTTTCAGCATAGTTAGATTATCCCTCAGTGAACCCAAAGTTCCAATGAATGAAACAACAAACATGATGATTCCCAGGATGATCAGAATTATAGCTGGGGCCAAAAACACTCCCTCCAGTGTCTTAAAGCGCTGTCTCTCCACCTCAGCATAGATGCCAATGGCCAGGATAAATCCCCCTATTAACTAGAAGCACAAAGGAGAAGAAGTTAGCATGGATTAGTCATCACCATGTGTCTGAATTCACATCCTGTAATTTTAGCAGCTTTAAATATGAGTAAAACGCTGAATGAACCAAAGCATCATTATTTTTAATTAGCAAGAGAAATGACAAACAAGTTAAATGATAGGGAGAAATCTATGAATGAATTTCATATCTGACATTAATTCAATCTGCTATCAGATTTCAGCAAGTGGAAAAGTATAAAACATTGACCATTAGTTAATACTGAGAACTGCAATTTCAATATTAAAATGAGATTTATTAGCCTGACCTAAATAAACTTGACACAGAACATCTACTCCTCAGCAGATGTACTTCCTTTTACACTAAATAATAATATGACAAATAAGCAACATTTATTTTGAAGAAGAGATGTGCATACTGGAACCCATTTATCTTGTTGCCTTACTGGCATGCAATGGCAAATCCTGTGTAGATGACAACTTGGCATTACTCAGTAGCAGTTGTAGTAATTTTATTATTGTGCCATTATTACAAGTTTTATAAAATCAGCATTCCAACATTTGAAACACTGCAGAACATGCAACAAAGTTCACATTGTTTTGGCTTTTAAATTCCCACCATGTTTTATTCATGCCATGGCTTTAAGGATGGCAGGGTTAGTCTGGTGGACCACCACTTTGGTCTTGAAATATTACAGAAATTATCTGAGGGACTGCTGTGAAATTTCCTTCATACATTTAGCCAGAATGTGGTATAATGTCTTCATTATGATAACCTGGTGATCCCTTGGCTTTTTAACAGCACCGTCAAATCAATTTGTCCAACACATTGGTTTATAACAAAATGTTAAACATGCTAAACTAGTTACTTTCCCATTAGCATCTGTTGTACTCAGTACTGTGCTGTTAGCAGATGTTTGCTTTCTAACATGCCATGCAAAGCTTCTTTAACATCTGCTGCCATTTGTTGTCATGTCAGTGAGGAGGAGGACAGGAGGAATCAAAGGATGGATGGAAAGAAAGAGAACCAGTGTTACATTAGTAGACAACTGTGAGCACTTAAAATGTTCTCTAATGCTGTGTCTGTCCTCCCTAACCACCTCCAGCCTCTTTGGATACCCTCTGAGCAGTGTTTATATCCTTTCTTCATGGCATACTTGTTCCAAGTCTACCAGATTGCTTGGTTGTCTGCGATGTACAGTCCTCTTCAAATCGATCCACAGGTTTTTAGTGATACTGTAACTGAAAAAGGTGCTAGGAATCTACATAAGACTCCAAAACAACAGTCCACATCTCCAGTCAAGCAGTCTGCACAAGTCTGGATTGTTTGGGAGAATAACATGCAAGAAGCCATGGCTTATTTCAAGACATAAGGCAGCACACTTGGAGGTTGCTAAGGAGCAAGATTATGTGGTCTGCATCAGGCACTGGCGCTGTGGAAAAAGGGGAATATCAGAACATTTTAAAGCAAAACCATCAGTTAAAAAGCTAAGAACTAAGAGGCAGTGGATCCTTCAGCAAGACAACAATCCAAAGCAGAGAGCAGTCAGCTCAGAAATGGTTTAAAAAGAAAAAAGTGAACGTTTTACCCTGGCCTACCCAGTCTCCAGACTTACAGTGGGTACGGAAAGTATTCAGAACCCCTTAGATTTTTCACTCTTTGTTATATTGCAGCCATATGCTAAAATCATTTAAGTTCATTTTTTTCCCTCAATGTACACACAGCACCCCATATTGACAGAAAAACACAGAATTTTTGACATTTTTGCAGATTTATTAAAAAAGAAAAACTGAAATATCACAAACGTGTGGATGATTTTCACTATTTTACTACAATTTTTTTTTAATGCCGTCCCTGGTAGGCTAGTGGTTAAGGCGCAGTGCTCTCGCTTCTGCGGTCCGGGTTCAAATCTGGGTTGCGTCAGGAAGGGCATCTGGCGTCAAACATGTGCCAAATGTCAACATGCAAGTCGTCAGTGTGACGATTTGCTGTGGTGACCCCTAAACAGGAAAAGCCGAAAGTGACTTTCACTAGAACTTTTTTTTTTCCATACACTCCATGACTATTTTTGTTACATCTGTTGATGAAGGAACATTTGCACTAGCTGAAATGTGCATTTAATACCATGTTGATGAAAAAGAATTTTATTCTTTTTTTGCTATTTCAATTGAGTGCAATCTTTTCCACTCAACTATAATTACAGTTTGTGTTGTTATTGTAAATGACAACTTTCTTTGATTACATTCTTTGAAGCACTGGAAACAATAGCCTTACATCATCTGGGAACTATGCTGTCTGCAGTACACACAGCTATCTTTGCGAGGACACTCATAACATAATGTGTTTCCTAGTCGTCCACCCTATTTTTTTAAACATTACAGTACAGTGTTTCCTACAGACACAGACCTGATTGTGGTGGTAGTTTGTGTGTACGTTGGGTTAAATTAGTCTGTCCCCACAATGATCTCCAGGCAATTCTAAATTTAAAAAGGCCACTTACAGAGATTCAATTACTGCCAAATAGCACAAATAGGCCTGCAATGTGACATGTAACTAGGCAGCTTAGGGGGAAACTGGCTTGTGATCCACTTATAGTGTCACCAAGTATTTTATATCCTGTATGTATCCAGGATGGGTCAAGTGAGCTTGCCTCACCACAAAAACAGTTTCCAACTTCAGGTCTATTTTTATAGCACAGGCTATTTCACATGACTATAATCTTGGACTCAAAGTGTCGAGATCTGCGAACGAGGAGATAGGTCAGCAACAAACATGAGCAGTCAGACATGTTGTAATGACAATTTTTCCAGCTTTTGATTGACACCACTTTATTTTGAGGCAAAACTAAGCATACCTGTAATATAGTTTTATAAAAGACGAAGGAGGAGATTTATTAAACCTGTCACAAATTACCACCAGGTGCACAAATATTGTGCCACTGCAATTTTTCAATTTGGCAGTGTATTTACCACCACCGACAATGTAAATGAGCACAGCCACAGCGGTGTTCATTTGAATGCACTTCCATTTACAAGGACCTGGTGCTTATATTGCACACGTGTGGACCAAGAGAGTGCCTAGAAGAAGGTCTATGTTTACAGTGACTGCAATTTAATATTGGCTGATGAATCCAAACAAACATATTTTGAACTTCTGCAGCCAATTCATCTTTCATTTTGTTCATTAACTGAAGAACAGCATAACCTGAAAGCCTGTTTACATCTCTCACATTCTCCTCTGGCATCCCAAAAGAAAGATGCAATTTAGAAACGCCCTTTCCTTTCTGTGTTAACACTCACGACATCTCAGATGAACAACAGCTGCCAGCAGTGCCACAAATTGTAAAGCTGCTTTCTCCTGACTTTAAATATTAGACATTTCCCTCTAGATCAAGCACTGAAGGTATTTGTTTACATTTGCATTCTCTCATTCCTTATTTTACATCCCTGAACAGGAACACCTTAAAATACACACTGCATAACACCAAGCACACAACTTCCAGTGGTGCTGCTTTAAATAAACTGCAAAAACTTAGTAAATACCCCCCTAAGAGAACTTTACAAGACACAGCTATTAGGGTTGATCATTTTAAACACTTTTCTAATGATTTTAAACAGCAAAATATACTTCATTTGTCTTCATAGTTGTTGCTGTGATGGCCATTACTCCACACTTGCTGTCGTTCAATAAAAAAAAAACCATGAAAAGGTGGAGTCGGCCTTTGTAATTCCCAAGTCTCAAATTCCCCCTCAAGCAAAGATGACCTCCACAACACACACAAATATCAGATCACAGCATACCGCTACTGAAATACTTGATTCTTTAACATCTGCTGCCATTTGTTGTCATGTCAGTGAGGAGGAGGACAGGAGGAATCAAAGGATGGATGGAAAGAAAGAGAACCAGTGTTACATTAGTAGACATCTGTGAGTTCTGAAGGTCCAAGTGCTGTTCATACCCCACCATGAGGTCTTTTCCTTACATGTCCCTGCTTGCTGTCTGTTATGGTGTCTTGCTGCTGGCTGGTTGCCCAACCCCCTCTAACTCACTGCCATTCAGCCAAGAGGAGAGGAGGACGTGTTGTAGAGCAACTAAATTTCTGCCAACAATAGTATATGTCAACACTCATGAATGATCATATTTACAAAGAGTTTTGTTGGTTCATGAAATCACTCTGGTTCGTATAAACAACTCAAGTAAAAGAGCAAATGATATAAAATAAAGCAGGCAGTGCTCTGGTTTATTAGCATGCTTTTCATTTCCACAAATGTCGACAATGGAGGTAGTGATAGCAAAATAAGCACACCCCCTTCCTATAACCACTTTTAGGGAAAATACAGCAGATTCAAATTCAAAAAGCCCCAAAATTGTACTTTAAGCTACCAACATACATACAGTATATATTGTTGTAATCTTTCCTGTCATTATTGAACACACCCATTAAACATTCAAATATATGCTCTTGCGAAAAGTAAGTGAACCCTTGGATTGAGTAACTAGTTGAACCACCTTTGGCATAATATCCTCAAAGAGGCACTTGACGTAACTGTGGACTGACTTCCACAACATCCATCTATCCATCCATTATCATACCACTTATTCCTGAATAGGGTCAGAGGGGGGCTGAAGCCAGTCCCAGCTGACACTGGGTTAGAGGCGGGGTCCACCCTGGACAGATCATCTGTCTGTCACAGGGCTAACATGTAGACAAACGACCACTCACATTCACTCCTACAATCAATTTAGAGTTACCAGTCAACCTAAGCTGCATGTGTTTGGACTGTGGGAGGAAGCCGAAGTACCCATGCAGGCACAGGGGCAAAATGCAAACTCAGCACAGCAAGGCGCCGGTGTCAGCCGAGGTTTGAACCCAGATCCTTCTTGCTGTGAGGCGACAGCACTAACCACCACACCGTGTCGCCACGTCCTTTAACAATACTTCAACTGACAAGAGTACCATTTCTGAGTTGGTAATCATAACTGCTGACAAAATCCTTTT